CACTTACATTATAAGTGTGATGTATTGTCTTAAGAGGGTTTTATGCATCAAGCATTCAGTAGTGCATACGATGTTAAATATGCACAGTGACTGGATTATCATGCTACTTGGTCTTTGTGTGTGTGTGTGTGTGTGTGTGTGTGTACACTCTAGAATTCTGGTGGGCTTCTGACGCTCAGTTTGGAACGAGACCTTTTAGATGCTGAACCACTGAAGGAACTGAGCACCAAGCGGCCTTTAGTGTGTTCTGAGGTTCAAGATCAGAAGGTTCTTTTAAAGGTAACTTTCTTTTACTTCTAGTTCCAGCTTCACTTGAGTTCTTGATTACTTAATTTTAAGTAAACTTAGTAACTCCTTTTCTAGTGCTTTGACTGTTAATTTTAATTTCACCTTTCCCCATGCTAATAATTTTGGTTGCACTCTTTAAACACTACCAGAACAGTGTCATTTTTCCTGTCTTTTGTGTACATTTCTCTTCCTGTCTTTCATTTTTTGGGGAAGCAATGGTAAATATGTTCCTTTATCCTTCTGTTAGTCTTGAAAACCAGTGGGCTTGCCACCTCCTTTGGACTGTCATTCCCTGTTCCTGGTGCATCCAGTCCCCATCCAGGGCCTGCCAGCACCTTTACTACTGATTCTCACATGGAGCTTCTCCTTTCCAGTGTCATGTTTTCTTGCCTTACCCTACCCAGAGTTAAGGAGATCAGGAAGTCCAAATTTGACAGTGGCAGAGTTGTAAACAGCTTTTCTTACTATTACTTGGCTGGGTAAGTTAAAGTAGTAGGGAAATATATCTGACTTCTAGTGCAACCTTCTTAGATGGTCGCAGGGTAACTTTGGGATCAGCATCTCAATCCATATTGAACGCTGGAATACAGTACACCAGGAGAATGAGACACAATTGGTCTTAAAAATATGGTGCACTAGGAACAGTGAGTGGTTTCATAATATTAATTCAGGAATAAAAACTGAATATTTTGTTTTCAGGGATATTCAGTAGATGTGAACACAGAGGCCAAAGTGATAGAAAGAGCAGCTAAGTATCATAGAGCTTGGAGTGGATTGAAGGAGAAATCTGGATTATTACAGCTGATATACCTTTTTTTGTGCAAGGCAAGTTCTAAATGGATGTCCCTTTAGTTTGTTGATGTCAGCTAGAGATATGTAATTGGTTATTAAACCTTTTAATTTTTTAAATGAAAGTGTTGAATAGTCGCATCTTCCATGCTGAACTTAAGTAAGCAAACAGAAGAATTGATTTGGTTTAGTGAGGACTTAATATGGACTAGAGCTGTAAAATGTTAACTCTGCTATTTTCTTAATACTTGAAATAGAATCCCATTATTCATCTTGTGTTCGTTTTGTGTTTTTTTTTTTT